ACAATGCATTAACGCGCATTCGTATTCTCTCATTGCGATATTTCCATTTCAACAATTTTAATAATGACCAGCTCTTCAATAACATAATTTACTTTATATACATTATATACTAGATATTTATATATTAATGTATATTGACAAACATTTACACTGGTTTCATTTATGCAGTTGAATAATTAATAAGCAATTACGTTGGCCCGTTTCAATCCTGGTTTCATACACCATTATGTAAAACGATGATACGTTTAGCAATGTGAATACGTAACATTGCTATTTTGGTAATACTAATTACGCCGATCTAATAATTATGACGCGCTTCAACTGTCCTTCAAGCATCTCGATAATATATTTACGCGAAGTAAAAGCGTGCGTAACGAAATACTTATGCATTACGTTACTTATGTGAAATACTTCTTGCAAAGTGCAAATTTTACAAAAAAAAGCAAACAGTAGATTAAATAGCTAAAATCGTATAAGAATTATTGAATCGTGATATTTATTAACCTAATAAATCTTGGAAGGTTTTCCTCTATGCGATTGCTATTTAAAGATAAAGAGAGTTGTTTTTCTGAAAATCCAGTCAACGATGTATGAGATGGGACATCTCCAAAAAAGCCAAAGGTTGAAAGTAAAAGTAAAAAAAAAAACATAATTCCTGCCTTTTTACCGACAAATATTCAACCAATAAATGATTTCGTCTACCTTCCTGAGTAGAATAAATCGATATAATTATTATTTCAGTGATCTATGACAAAAATTATTCCCAACAAGATAGACGAAACCATCCACTAATTTAATATTTTTTGCCAATAAAAAGCCAGTTACCTTTTTATCTCCGTTTTCAACCCTTATGTCCTTTTTTGCCATCACTGACTAGGTTTAAAGGTAAAAAAAGCACCTTCCCTCATCTCCAAATACCAATTGCAATCTAAAAATGTTTACCAGGGTCCGAATTACAAGAATTTAAAACAGAAAGCGTAGGGCCTCCTATAAAGCTTAATGAGTTAAGAAACATATTTGATAGTCTATGCTGAGCGTTAAGAGTCTTTAATACTGGAAGACGGAACGACTCGTAGAGTTCGCTTCTGATAGAAGAAAAATCGTCGCAAAAGGTTTTAGTATCGTTGAAAGCTTCTACAAAGCTCCGTGACTTAATTGCATTCCTGAGGATCAGTCCCGTAGGACACGTAGATGTATCGTGGATATACGAGCGGGAGATGCATGCAAAACTGCATAATTTATCCGACAACTTGGAACCAGTGGGAAATACGGATGACGTGCAAAAGTTGGGATTTCGATGCACTTTCTTCAACCTCGAGAACGAGCAACCTAGTAACGCTGCGATCCTGCCAGTTTCTAAGTTTCTAGTCCCTCGAAATTGCAGAAAATTGCTAAAATTATATTTAATCTAAATCTATTTTATTATAATCACTTATAATTCGAAAACTGTAAATATTTTGACATTTTACGCTAGTGAGGAAGTTTGTCTATAGTTTTATTTTTTTCACTTAACTTTCATTAATAGATAAACAGTGTTGACAAATATCGAAATCTAAAAAACTATGTATACTCCATGGATCCCTAAAAATACAAATATATTTTATGTAGTAATGTAATATTTAAAAATTATTTTTAATATAGCACTACAATTAGCAAAAGCTTTAAAACTAATTTATAATCCCTTTTTAGATCTTCTTTACGAGTCTTACTCTATTCCATTATCTTCTCCCACTCAATAGATACTATGTGTGTGTATAATTTAATTTCGTATAGAAGTGTTTTGTAATTTTGTAAAATCTTTTAATTATGTTAATCTAATCATACAACTACTTCATTATCTTCTTAATTAAGTATAATGACAAAGTGAGGATTATTCCATTTCAACTACTTCATTATCTTTTAAGTATGTTCACAAAGTGAAGATTATTCCGTTAAATTAAAAATAAATTAATTTATAAAATAAATAAAAATGAAAAAATTTTCAAGCAGATTAAAGAAATCATCGTTAAGAATAAGGTAAAAAATTCCAGGATTGCTTGTTAAAGTGCATTCATATATATAATAGACAATACATGAATCCATCTTGCGTGCTGGTAATGTTTGCGATGAAAACCTTAACAGGTATATCGATTCGAGCATTGAAGTAAGCTATATTGAAATAAGCTCGTGCAGTTTTAGACGGATTCATGTCGAAAGTAGAAAATTAGCGAAGCATGCTGTCGCTTCTCAGGTAATCACGAACTTTTCGACGAGAAAGGTTCGATCAATTTCAAACAAACAGCAGCTATCTCCACTTTTGCGTTTCGATAGACTTTATTCGCTCAGCTGCTGAGTAGAAATAGTTCTTTCTTCGCTTTTTCTCGCGACTACTGATTTATTTATATTTTTTTGCACTCCAACGATTCTATTTCCAATGCGTTTATTACTTTTATATTAGAGCGATTATAATCTTAAACGAATGTACAATCACAAGTGAGAAGGTTGTATAATCTAAAGGAGAACGTTGAAAGAACACTGAATTAACAACGAGTCCTTCATTCTTCCCGATAATTCATAAAATATCTGGTATAAGTTTTTTATTTCAATATTCCGGGGGTATTTAAATGCATACCCTGAAGTCATAAAATAATGCCGTAAAACTCACTTCTTTATCTTCACCTCGGAAGTTCCGAGACAATATGCAGACTCTGACCAAAGTCGCACTATCATTAAATTGGCTCGCTAAATTTAGAAAGGCTATTTTCCGTCCCGATACGAGTCCAAAGTTATCAGTCACAGCTGCATAGTTTATTTAGCTGGCTAACAATAGAACTCACCGGTCGAACATTTTGATAGGAGGCCGCACTATGTATCATCGACGAGCGGCATTTCCATTTGTTCACATAAACCGCGGCAATAATCCTTGAGCACGATAAAAACAATATTCATGTGCACGTACGTGTGTATACTTGTGTATAATACTCAGTCACATGACTAAATCGTATATTTACATTTAAAAAACACGTGTCAAAAAAACATGCGAAAGAGATTAAGTTAAAACAATTCGATTCTGCACAAGGCTCAAGATCCGTGTAATTTACGTTCGACGATCTATGTAACACCTCTACGTATCTAGTACAGGTGTATTGTAACGTGATATCCTGATACGGCAATTTCTCGCATTTTTATTTTATATCTCGTGCCAACATGCTACATAGAGCCTCGTATGTACTTATGTAATTACAAGCCACGCTGAAACACTGTACACATAACGCTGTTTTTCAGTCGGGAACGATATAATGGCATATTGTGTACAATGCGTAAAAAGCAATATTGAAAAATAATTCAGTACTACTATACAATACTATTAACAGAAGAAACTAGTAGTATGTCTTAAAATATGGAAAAGTACAGCGAGGAAATTATTTCACCGATACGAATGAGACTGGTAATCAAGGGGAAAGAATAAAGGTAATGGACAAAGCGGAGGAAGTCGTCGGTGAGAGGACGTCGAATAATGAAACGGCGAGTTGAAATTCGGTGGCTGAAAAAAAAGAAGTCCACTTAGGAAGAAAGGAATGTTTGAGTAACATGAAACGAGCAACGGAACAAAGAATCCTCGATGGTATTGCGACTTCCGATTTTTTTTTATATCATAGTAGGTACTTGGATCTAATGATTAATTGGCAAAGGAGTGCGGTAAGCAAGAAAAATGTGAAAAATGCTTGCTTTTTATAATTCAGACAATAGTTAATTAAAAATTATACCGTGGACAATATGCGCTAGTGATTTTTTATACAAACGCAAACGAAAAGTGTTTAGATATGTTTCGAAAATAAAAGGTAATCGCGCAATATTTTTCCCCGAAAATATTCAACGTGCGTAATGAAGGTAGCATATTTAACGACATAATTTATAACCGAAAAATCATGTTTAGACATCATTAAGCATGTATGTTTCGAACACATCGTCATCACTTTCAACTTTGTCGAGCCCGCGCAACGACGAAATTCAACACTGAGTGCATCGTTTGTTAGTTGCAAATGAGTTAACTTCTAATGTAGCTATTAAGAATTTAATATCACTATCTCTCGGTAAGATTGATCATGAATGTTCCCCATGTGTGTATCTACATACTTCAGCCTTCAGCTCTCCAATTCTCCCAGCCACCAATTCTCCTAGCGGCATATTTATTGTTGATATTCCGACTACGAACTTGCATGTAGGTTCCTCTTATGGCCAAAAAGGAAATGCACGCGGAGTAACGATGAATTATTGTTCCGCCGCAACGAAACTGGAAGTGTTTCCGCGCCAAGTGTATCGCATCTTCGCGGACTACGCTCGTGCGAGAGAATATTTCGAGAATATTTCTCCATTTTCGAAATCGCCTAGAAAAAAAAAGTAGGTACGCGCGAGATGCGCACGAAACAATTTCGTGCTGCATTATCATACATTTAGATTATCTCGCACGATTCGGCAAGAAAATGTAAGTTTCAAGGTAATATGGAAACAAATAAGAAACGCAAGTGAGTGCCTAAAATTAGATCCTAGAATAAAAAAATATATTCTCACGTAGTATTATTAAAGTTTGAAGATAGGTACACAGAGCATGATAATAATATACGATAACGACGTCATTTTTCGATAAAAAAAAAAACTAACGATAGATAAGATTGTCTGATATTTTCCAGCAAGAAATATATTAAATTTATATATTCTGTTTGTTTATTAAATTTATTCTTAAATTCATCCCAGAATGCATTTTACTTATATCGCTCGTAATATAATTTTATTTGCTATGTAATAATATTACGTAACAAATAACAAATAATAAAGTAAAACAAAAAGTAATTTTCAAGTCTGTTGCTTTTTTACACATACAATTACAATGAACACCATACCAGTACTCGTGACATCAAACCGCTATCTCATATTGTTGCTCTTAACTATACGTTCTAATGAACGGTAGGCAGTGACTGCATTATAACAAGCACTAGCGTTATGATAGCGCCAGTCGTGTTCTCGTTCCTAGGGTGATAACTTCTGAGAGCGTAGCGTTTTCATGTCACCTCGTCAGTAAGTCGACACCACCATCGTAACAGTGTTATCTGATCTAAAATTGCTTAACTAACCGAGCGTTTGCGATATCTTCGATACTCCGAGATTACGAAACTGGCTTCTGAGATGTTTCTAGAATACATTATCCTATCCCATAAACTTCCTAGTCCGCTTAGTAAAGTTTAAATCTTCCGATCGCACCGAATACCAAAGCAAATGCGAGGATACTTATGAAATAACAATATAGGCGTATATAAAGATTGTCGGTTAATTTATCGCCCGATCTGTAAACATTCATTTGTACGTAACACCACATTACTGTACATACTTATTAACAATAATCGACTAATAAAAATTAATGGTGGCTAATTATGCAAAGATATTAAATAATATAATGTGATAATAAATTCCTACAAGAATATCTACAAAAATATAAATGTTTACATAGCACTATATCAAAATGTTGTCATGTTATTAAAATTATATAGTTTAAGAAATAATAAAGTAGATAAAAGCACCCCTTGCAGAAACGAAATCCTCTCATTTATAACAAATTTTTAATTTAAAAAATAATTTTTATGTTGCAATATCAATACGCGTATTGCGTCAGGTATAATAAGATTTAACATTGATTGAAGATGATAAAAAACCGCAGAGAGAGAGAGAGAGAGAGAGAGAGAGAGAGAAATTTAAAATCCTAACGCGTAGCATATATGAAAAGTATCATCTTTAAAACATCATAATTGTTAGGATATAATATAAAGCCTTATTACAAAATATATGAGCCTTATTATAATATACCAATGAATTCAAAATTAAGTAAACGAGTAGACGAGAAAATGCCTCAGGATCCCGTCATGCGTGAAGGATAACTGGTTTTATTCCTGGTACACCGGCAATATTTCAGAAAGCCGAGACTGATCCATTCTGAAGTACAGTCAGTCTCGAAAAACGAAGATTATAGCGAGAAAGTTTGATTAATCCGTATAATGATACCAAGAAGACGAAGAACATGACATGACAGCAAATAAAACAAGCGAGATAAATTAATGTCAAGTAGCTGAGTATTCTACATTAAGAGAGTTGCGCTCGCCAATATTTATACACACATTATACATTCTCAACGGAGTTTGATGAATGAAAATAAAAACGGAGATTCTGCCGTATATATACTGTATAATATTTATACAAAAGTAAAAACGCGAAGATAAATAAGAATATATTACATACCCGCTTTTCACCTCCGATCGTAATGAATATCTTAGATTCCGATTTACATCGCCATCGATTGATCGACGAACAACGTTAATGCGAGGGCCATAAATACGTCCGCGGCGGCTGAGGCTTTCAAAGTCAGTCAAACTCAGTTACTTAAATTAGATCCGGACGTCCTTTACCCAACGGCAGACCAATAAAATCTTCCATTACCGCATAACAGCGCGTCAACGTGAAATGAACGCGCGCGCGCGACCGCGCGCTTAACTTCTGGGTTCTCCAGGGAAGGGCACGATGGCAGACAGAGAGGCGGTCGGGGCAAAAAGGGATAAGTCGGGTGTAGGATGGTGGATGCAGAATCCGGAGGCAATATTTCACGGTACTTCCTACGACGCGTCTACCGCTTCCAGCTCTCTCTCGCTCCTCGCTCGCCTTCAACGTCCCTCTCCACCTTTCGCTCCCGTTCTCTAAGTTGACGATAAATTCGCTTGGCGTCTAAACGGTATTTCAGGAGCGTGAGTTTTCCGTCATCCATCCATTGACTCGTCTTAACGTAAAGATTAGATAGCACCAAATATTATAAAAGCGACCTCGCCATTAGAGCGAGGAGAAATTTCTCTTTTTCTTATCTTCATGCATGCCTATATTTCTACGACGGCACATTGCGATGATAATAGTGCGACTGGTTGTCTGTTTTACTTCGTTCGTATTTATCTATATGTCTATTTGCATAATACAAAGAACTTTGATGGTATAAGTCAAACATCCCCGCTTCTCTTGCTATCTCTTTATTTTTTATATTATATTAGCATAATGCTATCATTTTATGCGAAAGATACAACGCGATATGTAACCTGGAAAGGATCCATTATACAAAAAGGGTCTATACGAGCAAAAGTTACTTGTATACACATTTCCCTCTAAAAGTTGCGAGGAACCGCTTCACTCAGAAAATACATAACGCGATTCAAAATGCGCCTTCCCGAAGATTCCACAAGTGGTAGCTACAAGTTTCGCACAGAAACTTTTATCATGAAAATAAGCGTTACCTTTCATCCAGAATACATCTCTTTCAAAATACAAATTTTACAAAAAATATTAATCACTCTTTTTTCTCCCTTTCTAAATCCTTTTCTCCTAATTCTCTCTCTAATCCTTTAATCCTAATTTTTCTCGTGAAGTAAGATTGATCGTCCGGCGAGCGCAGTGCTGAAAAGAAAAATAATAACGTAAGACGAAACTCATACAGGCCAAAGAGGTCATTCCAGGCACAAAAGTATAGGAAGACATTTACAAATGATCTCCGTACTAATCTCGGCGCTTAACAGGCATAACAAGTTCCTCTCGAGTCTGCAACAACTTGTTAACAATCGCCCGCGGGCTGTAGCGAGTGGCGTGTGACGCCCGGGACGCCGTCCTGCATTACGCAAATGAGGCATAAACTCTGGCGCTCAATGGAGATTATTAATAACAAGTAAATCACTTAGTGGCTTCTCACGTAGGAGGACGCATTTGCATGTTGCGGAGAGTCGAACGGAGTCTGCAATCTGCATTTCGCATCCAAGGCGAGAGAAACATAGAAGAGCCGACGCGACGTCGCGGCGTCGAGGAGGCTGAGGCTTGAGCATTTGATGCGTGCGCAGATAGAAATGTAACGAGATGACTTTAGATGTGGAACAATACGCGAATATTCGAATAAATCAAGGAGGAATGTGGATAACGAAGTGGATATAGGAGAAAGAATTTGCGGATTAAATCGGAGAACAATTAGATTCGCCGACGCGGCGCTCTCGCGAGAAGCTTAATTCGGTGGAATTTAATATATTCGCGCGCGAGCCCGACTGAGACGCAAAATTAATGAAGTAACGTAGGTGAAACGCAATAAAGAATGAAAATCGAATGAGAATCGTGATTAATGTCGGAACGTTTTTCACCCGTGGCGATTAAATGCACTTCTTGCTCGCGTTAATAATTATCGCCACGTTCATTAAATCTGGCGTAATTACTTCTGACAGACTCCAACCATTGTAATCGCGTTTTGATATTGTATAGTTATAACAAGCATAACTTTGAGATACAGTAAATAATTAAATTTTCAAGCTTCTTACATTTTATTGCGCAATTAACAACGCGTATGAAAAAAAGATTATTCTCATGGAATTAGAATTGAAATAAATATCATGCAATATATATCGAGATTCAATTTCCTTCCGCGCATTCGGTTCATTATGTCACTTTTGTTCGTCAATGCATTTTCACTAATACATAATTAATATTTTCAAAGGAAAACATGACTCAGCCATAAGCTAATATATCTTCATCGGAAACAAATTTTCGTGTGTGTGTGTGTGTTTCTGTTTTACACATTGCCAAAATATTTTGCACAAATAGCACGTCGTAATGTGGAAGTTCTTGGGGGACGCGGGGTTTGTAACGATCAGAAAGGACAAGATAATTAGATACCATCGTAAAATTGCTTTGTTAAACATTAAAGTACATTCACTCGAGTCAGCACGTTAATTTTATGTAGAAAGATTATCTCGCAAAATGACTTTACTCTCGACGTAAAAGGCTACTGAATTTCGACGTTCGAGATTTTGTCGAGAATTGGCTAAAGACGTTATAATTTTAAACATTAAGCATGAAAGAAACGGATGTGCTTTTAGTTAATCCCTCATTCAAAAGATGGAAAGATAATTATGCAAATCCGAGATACTTGTCGATTTTATAAAAATAAGTAAAACTTCCTCATCCAATCAGTTAATTTTGAAGATTTTGCAACTTATCTTTTCACTTTAAAATCTAAAGAGCATTAAACGCAATTACATTTATTACAACACTTTTGTGAACAAGTTTCATTCGTACGGTAATGGATTAAAATTGACTTAACTATCTAGGATTAAATTATTCAACCTTAGCAAATTAATAAGATAAAAATGTATCTTAGACGGATTCGAAATTACTCGTGTTGAATCGGCACGAATTTCGCGAAAATGCTGAACTGCATCCCGCAGGCAACTGCGCGAAACTAACGGCAACAATCGCGGTATTCAGTTAACGATCTTACAACAGCACCGGGTTGTGCCTTGAATCTCAAATGGACAGCCACGCGCGAGCCAGTGCTAATACTACTACCAGCAAAGGTATTCAATGCTAACGATCCTGTCACCAGACGAAGGGTTTCCGGTTCCGCAATACTCCGGCGACATTAGAGATGGGGGCACGTTTCAACGGGCGAACTGGTATGCTCCATTTAGAGCGCTTGAATGTGGCTTGTCATTACGCGCAAATTTCGATAACAAAGTTATAATGTAAAGGAGGTTCGAAAATTCTCAAACTTTTTTCCTTTACTTACCGCTAGACTAGGTTGCTTATTCTCTAACTTTCGCGAAGTAAAACTCCAATTACAGTTACAACGTTTCAAGGAGAACGAACGAAAACCAAGTTGATTTAACCGAATGTATTCAACGATGAGGTATAATAGTACGGGCAGAGTAGCGAGATGATCGTGGTTTGAGGAGTGAGACACGATGGGAAATGTCGCGAATAAAAATACGAAAAGAAAATAGTCGTATCGTTGAACATCGTTATCCCCGTTGAATGAATATGCGGTAATGCATGGCAAATTACGCCGAGTTTGTAACTTTCCCGGTAAACCACAGCATTTCAGAGCATATCGAAATATCGCGATGTACATGTTAATCAAGCCATCGGAAGAGTTATACGTATGTATGTATACGTAATCAATAAAACATCCCTGTCTCCAAAAGCGTTACTGATGACATATCGTGCTATCCAGTAGA